ACTAGGCTGATGAGACATGAAAGAGTTAATGGAGTTAGAGCGGTCCTTTATGACATCCTACTAGAGCTCACATGACAAAGGAACACAACAACTCAGCTCAGAAAACTAGGACTTGCAATTCCACAAACAGCTTTCAACAGTTTTGATTGTCTAGTCCAGGGGTCTCAAACACGCTGCCCAGACTTATTTGCTGCGGCCTGCCAAGCTCCTCCCCCCCCCTCCCCGAGTTATTTCCTGCGGCCGCCAAGCTTCCCTTACCCGTCGCCATCCGCCCCCCCCCCCCCCCCCGTGCCACGTCCCCACTCCTCTGCCTACCTCCAGGCGCTTCCCACCACCAAACAGCTGTTTGGCGGTGCTTAGCACTTTCCAGGTGGGAGCGGGGAGCCATGCGCTCGGGGAGGAGGCGGAGAAGAGGCAGGCCGGGGACAGGGATTTGGGGAAGGGACAGAGTTAGGGTGGGGACTTTGGGGAAGGGGTGGGGCTGGTGGCAGCATGGGGGGGGATGTCAGTGATGTGGCCCTAGGGCCAATGTACCAGTCCTCATGTGACCCTCGTGGTCATTTGAGTTTGAGATCCCTGTTCTAGACTGACCTCCTGCACAACGTAGGCCACAGAATCTCACCCACCCACTCCTGTAATAAACCCCTAACCTAGGTCTGAGCTATTGAAGTCCTCAAATCATGGTTTAAAAAGACTTCAAGGTGCAGAGAATCCTCCAGCAAGTGACCCGTGCCCCATGCTGCAGAGGAAGGCAAAAAAAACCCCAGGGCCTCTGCCAATCTGCCCTGGAGGAAAATTCCTTCCCGACCCCAAATATGGCGATCAGCTAAACCCTGAGCATGTGGGCAACACTCACCAGCCAGACACCCGGGAAAGAATTCTCTGTAGTAACTCAGATCCCACCCCATCTAACATACATCCCATCACAGGCAATTGGGCATATTTACCAGTAATAGTCAAAGATCAATTAACTGCCAAAAATTAGGCTATCCCATCATACCATCCCTTCCATAAACTTATCAAGTTTAGTCTTGAAGCCAGATATGTCTTTTGCCCCCACTGTTCCCGTGTGTTTGGCTGCAGTGTTACAGCTGACCCACTTGAAGCAGTCCTGAAGAACTGCTCACACTACAGAGAGTAATTGTCTAGTTACAGAGATGTAGTGTCAGATATTCAATGGGTGTAAACTGACCTGGCTCCACTGTGGTCAATGGAACACCACCAGTTTATACCTGCTGAGAATCTGGCATATAATATCCCCATTGACATTATACCAGAAGAGATGTAGCAGGTACTGATAACACTGGTGAAGAAATGGACACATATTGCACGCCAGTATCTTCCAGCAAGCAATCACAAAACAACAGAAACTGAGACAACCAAAAAGGATGAACTAAAACAAGTCTTACATGAGTAACACTGCATGGAGGGCCAGACATTAGAAAGACATGTCATTGCAAGGACATTGGAATCATACTAACCAAATCTCGCCCTTGGGAATAGTTATTTCACAAGAAGACAGACATACTATCGTGCCAGAAATGTATAAACACACCATGTTATCCACAAAGCAATGCTCCTGCTAAGAAGATAACTCAAAGGGGCTGCTAGACGAAGCTAAAGCTGTTGGCAAACCCCTCTATTTCATTTGGAGTATTGGAACATATTTGCTATTATGCAATTTACTCTCCACAATGGACAGGGGAGAGGTAGAAAGTGGGAGAAGAACTTTAAATTTTCAGTGTAATTCATCTTGTATGTGTTATAATCTGGAAGGCACTCAGATACCACAGTATTAGGTGCGGGATAAGAGCCTAGAAAAGAATCTCATCAGAGACTAAGCAGGTTGAGCCTACAGATGGGTTAAGGAGGAGGAAGGAAGACAGATGGAAGAATGTGGCAACTAGGAAAAATAAATATGAAAAAGCAGAAAAGAAATACTTTAATGCTAGAACAAACTACTGCAGGGAATACATGGCTATGTAATTGCTGATCCTCTGGACCTGTTCCTGTGACTATCTGAAGGAGAGAGACAGTTTAGTGTCTGCAGCTTACAAAGGAAGAGGGATTGTCACATCTTTAAGAGATGCCTGTCAAACGTTTGGTCCAATAATTTGCTCCCTGCTGTGTTTGACTGAATTCTGGTTATTGTTACTCGTTAAACATGCCTCAACCCAGAAAACCAGCAGCCATGCGGCTACAGGGCTACCCTGAGCCTAACTCTAGAGAGCTGTGGTGCTACAAACTTTTTAGTATGAGCCCAAGGACTCAAGGGTCTCTTGCCTTACTCAGGGAAAGGGTGGTAAGAGTGGCTGCCTGGAAAGGTAGGGAGTGCCACACCCATGTGTCGTAGGGCTGCTTGATCCTCAGGGCTTGTCTACACTTGAAACGCTCCAATGGCACAGCCGTAGCGCTTCAGTGAAGACACTACCTACTCTGACGGGAGGGGTTCCCCTGTCAACATTGGTAATCCACCTCCCCACAGACCTCGCACTGTTTTACACCAGTTAGATTTGCTTAACTACATCACTCACCACAGTATGGATTTTGCACACTCCTGAGTGATGTAGTTGAGTCGACCTAACTTTTAGGGTAGGCCAGGCCGCAGACTGGAGACTTATTCTGTTTAACTTATTCTACTTTCTTGTAACAAACACAATGCCTTGAGAAGACGACTGCTGACTAAACAAGGTTTAATTCAAAACACAGGGATCCCAACACCTCCGCTTTCAGTTTCAGTAGCCTCTGGAGGTTTTTCACCTTCCTCTGTAGCATGGGGCATGGGTCACTTGCTGGAGGATTCTCTACTCTTTGAAGTCTTTAAACCATGATTTGAGGACTTCAGTAGCTCAGACACAGGTGAGAGGTTTATCGCAGGAGTGGGAGAGTGAGATTCTGTGGCCTGCGTTGTGCACGAGGTCAGACTAGATGATCTTAACAGTCCCTTCTGACCTTACTATCTAAGGATCTATTTTTCCTTGCTGGTTCATTCCTCTAGCTTCTAAAGTTTTGTGTAGAGGCTGGGCTGAGGGGACCGGGGGTATGTCAGAAGTGGGGTTAGTTCAACAACATTTGTCAGATAAAATACAGGGGGTCTCCTGTACACACTGGGGTTGCATTCTTGAAAAGGGCAATGGCTACTGAAACGATATATACCGGGGAATTTTTCCCCATAAAGAAATAATGGACGGGGTGGGGGAGGAGGGGAGAAGATGTGTTCACAATTTCACCACACTCGCCTAGGACAATGCTCTTTTCACCTAAGCAGCGTACCTTTTTACAATGACAGGCCATACACTACACATTTTCCACATAGAACATTGAATAAAATAATGTAGAACCCTACTAACACTGTTCCAAAACACAGAACATTTTAATACAGTAAATACAGTACAGTAACAGTATAAAACACTGTCAATTATATTAAACTTAGGTAACGGTGGTGGCTGGATTTTCCGTGGCTGGATCTTTGGTTGCAGAAGTCTTAAAAAAGGATTTTATTGATGTCTGCTCTTTTGTATAAATCTTTGAATGACAGATCTCCCCGTAGCAAGCCACTGCATCATTGAGAACCCTGGAGACTTTGGCAGACCCTTCATGAAAAGGGATCACCACTCTGTATGATCTCTGTCATCTCATCCAGCAATCCAAAAAAAATGGGAGATTCTTTATGGTCAGATTCCTGTCTTCCTGCCCTATGTCATCATCATCCTTGCTTTCTTCGGATATCCGTTGTTGGTCCAGCTCAATCAGTTCCTCATTTGTTGGAGTCTCAAACTGAGCAACTGACAACTCCTGTACATCCTCCTCAAAGCAGATATCCTTCGCCGACTTGACAATTTCTTGCGCGAGAGCAGGAACGGCATCAAATCCCATGAAGCTGTGGACAGCATCTGGCTATGCACAGTGCCAAATGCCGTTCATACATTGCGAAGTGACCTCTTCCCACAACGTGTTGTTTTCCACTTCGTTCAAGATGTTGTAGGACTTCCAAAACTCCTTTACACTGAGCTTTCCTTCATCTGTTGTTGCCTTAATCAGGATGGAGAATGTCCTCCATAGATAATAAGCCTTGAACATGGCTGGCGGATGCAAGTACAATATTGTACAACAGGGGAACGTGTTCCAATTCACGTCGGTCCCGATCTGTGCAAACGACGGCTATGTGGATTAGGACCAACGTAAATCAGAACACGTTCCCCTAGTGATGAGCAACGGATACTTGAAACAATGGATAAGGGGGAGATTAATACCAGGGACCCCCTGTAGCCAAATTGTAGACAATTACCATGTGTCACCTTGCTGATTGGATGAACTCCCACTCCCGTCACAGAGGAGGTCAAATATCACCCAATCATGAAGGTCTATTACAGGAAAACAAGCTTTTAATTTTTGGACATGGCAGTTGACTATTTCACATAGTATGTGCTGCTCAAACTGACAGGTCTAAAAAAAATTCACTCCTCCGCTAAGTGACCTGGCAGGCTAGGTTTCAATCCTCAGAGAAACGTAGGGCCACTGGCCAAGGTATAAAAATCCATGCCAAAAGTACAGCTACTAGAATTTTAATTTCCTGGGAAGAAATAAGATTTTCTTCATCAGATATTAATACATGGCTAGTTTCAGAGGAACAGCCGGTATGTAGATTGTAATGGATTTTTTACCTTCAGTCCTTAAGTGAGCTGTAGCCCACGAAAGCTCATGCTCAAATAAATTGGTTAGTCTCTAAGGTGCCACAAGTACTCCTTTTCTTTTTGCGAATACATGGCTAGTTGTCCATATTTAGTGGCACCCATATTCTTCCAATCTGGAACTCAGTACCATTAGCTGTATGCCAGATTTAGTCCCACAATTACCATTTTCCCATGCACACTCACAGTGAATCATCTGTTTCAGAAACCCTGAACCACGAGGCTTTAGAAAAGCCTATTTATGCTAAGCATAATTCTGTGAGCTCCCAATGAAATCAAATCAGTGAGATGTGTCAAGCCTGGACTTACCTAAATTCACAGCTCTGCGGCCCGTGTACATCTTTCCTCCCACATCCCATGCATTTTCACAAACAAATCAATTTAAAAAGTTAACGCGGCAAGGCATCTTATGTGTACAAGTAACCGTTCGTTTGTTGGGTGCAAATGTGCGTCTTCCCTGGGCAAGGAGTCCTCCGCTTGCACGTGCCCGGGCCGGCGCAGCTCACGAACAGCCCTTGTGAAACCGCGGCGCCTGGGAGATTTCCGGGCACACCGCAGTTTGGGAACGGCTGGGCGCGGGCGGGCGGGAGCGGGTAAGAGGAGCCACCTCACGCACGCCAAGTTCAGCCGCGGAACTCCAGCCCTGGAGAGCGGCGGCAGCGGTGACCCTGAAGAAAGGCCCCTGGTCGCTGAACGACGCCCCTGCCTGCCGGCCGGCTTTGGCGCTGGGGCTCGTGGGGCGGGGCAGGCCCGTCTCTCGTTACAACGTCCCTGCGCGGCCGCCGAGAGCGAAGACACCCCCGGCCGGCAACCCCACGCCCCGGGCTGCGGCGCTTAAATACGACGCGTCCCAACGGCGGGGCGGCTCCTCGGCCCTGCTGCGGTCAGCCCCTCGGCAGCCGCGCCGCGCCGCGCTCACGTTCCCAGGGGCTGCGCGGGGAAAGGCGGGGCAGGGAGGCTCCCATTGGCCGGGGCGTAGCCGCCTCGGCGGGCGGGGGCGGGATTGGCGGCGGCGAAGGGAGGTTCCTTTGTTGGGGCGGGGGAAGCGGCGGCGGCGGCGCTCGTGGGGTGGCTGATGGAGCGCGGGGGCGCCCGCGGCTGCTGCTGTCCCTCCGCCTGGCAGGTAGGAGCCCGTCTCTGGGGTGGGGGGTAAGGGGAGCTCTCCGAGAGAGCCCTGGGGCCTGGGCTGGATCCTGCTCTGCTGTCCAACAGGCGTCAATCCGGAGTGACTCCCGTGGAGTCACACCAGCCTGAAACTGGCCTGGCTGCAAGGCAGCGTAGAATTAGGGCCAGCCTCTGTGTGTCGGGGTTGAGCTTCAGGCTCTCCTGAGGCTAGGATTGGTGCTCGGGGGGGGAAAACCAGGAATCAGTGCTTTCAGTGGCAAGCCCTAGGAGCTTGCAAAAATTGTATCCAGCCTTGGTGCTCTTTTTTTGTGATCAGAGTAAAGCACCAGAACTGTTGCCTTTGCGGGCTGAGCAGCGATCCATTCTCCTCCATGGCAAAAGCATTTTGGGATTGACCAGATGTTTACGGGGGGGTGGGGATCATCATCTTTCTATGGTCTTATTAAATGCCTGTTACTAATGCTGCCTGTTACTAATGTGTTGTTCAGCAGTACTATTATTCTTGACCTCCTCTATCACCCGCGGCATGCCAGGCACTTAGAGAATATTCAGCGCAAATGTGCCTTGGTGTCTCACTTTGGCTGGTTATTATTATTAATGCAGCCTTGTTGCTATAAATAGTGCTCTACAGTGGAGTCAACTCTGTGACCAAGAAGTTAAATCCTTGCCTGGTGGTGCTCACGGTCTCATTTTTAATGTTGATTTTAACGCTGTTTAGAGTCTATATTGGGTATCAGTAAATGCCAGTGCTTAGTAACGGTGTTTAAAGTCTACACTGAGCCAATTGCACTTAGCTGGAGCTAGGGCACAGTTTGTTGAGATAAAGCTGTTTTTCTCTAATTCTGTCCAGACGTAAGCCAAAAAGAAACTGCTTGTCAAATAGGGTTTTTTAATACCATTCAGTGGCAAATTTTGAGTGTTGGGGGCCAATTCCTGAGAGCTACTGAGGTCCCACAACTTCTATTGGGCCTGCTCCTGAGTGGTGGGCAGATTTCCATTGTTTCTGCCAGCCTTTTCCTAAAAATATGCCAGAAATTGCTACCTCCACTTCAGCTCTATCATTGGGAGCAACGCTGGGGCACGTTTCAGATTTTGGTATCGGGGGACAACTTCAATTGTGATTCCTGGGGCTACTTAGGCACTTGAAAACTCTAGTTTTTTGGGAGATAACTTAGCAGTTAACTGACAGGAGCCCAGTATCTAATTTCTTTATAAAAGAAAGAAAATTAAATAAATATTAGACCCACTCAGCTCTCATAACAACATGTTCTGACATCTTGTGAACAAGTCACTTAAGGGACACTGATTAGGTTTAAAATTTTAATGTATATTCTTACTTTATTACTAACTCTGTGGACACAGAGAGAGACACTGTCAGGACTCCTGGGTTCTATCCCAGCTCTGGGAGGAGAGCAGGGTCTAGTGGGTTACAGCGGGGAGCAGATACATCTGGGTTCTATATAAGAACATCAGAATGGCCATATTGGGTAAGACCAATGGTCTATCTAGCCCAGTATCCTGTCTTCCAACAGTGGCCAGTGCCAGGTGCCCCAGGGGGAATGAACAGAACAGGTAATCATCATGTTGCCCTGTTGCCCACTCCCAGCTTCTGGCAAACAGAGGCGAGGGATATGCAGAACATGATGTTAGATCCCTGGCTATTAGCCATTGCTAGACCTATCCTCCATGAACTTATCTAGTTCTTATGGGAATCATGTTATAGTTTTGGCCTTCACAACATCACCTGGCAGAGTTCGACATGTTGACTGGGAAGAAATACTTTTGTTTTTGTTTTTGTTTTAAATCCGCTGCCTATTAATTTCATTTGGTGACCCCTAGTTATTGTGTTATGTGAAGGAGTAAATAACACCTCCTTATTCACTTTCTTCACACCAGTCTTGATTTTATACACCTCTGTCATATCCCCCCTTAGTCATCTCTTTTCCAAGCTGAAAAGTCCCAGTCTTTTTAATGTCTCCTCATACATTTCTGTTGCCCTTCTCTGTACCTTTTCCAAATCAGATATATTTTTTTTGAGATAGGGTGACAAAATCTGTACGCACTATTCAATATGTTGGCATACTGTGGATTTAAATAGAGGCAATAAGATATTTTTCTCTTATTATCTACTATCCCTTTCCTAATGATTCCCAATATTCTGTTAGCTTTTTTAATTGCCACTGCATATTGAGCAGATGTTTTCAGAGAACTATCCACAAATGACTCCAAGATCTCTTCGGGTTCAGCTAATTTAGACCCCATCATTTTGTATGTATAGTTGGGATTATATTTTGCCAAGTGCATTACTTTGCATTTATCGACACTGAATTTCTTCCGCCATTGTGTTGCCCCCAGTCACCCAGTTTTGTGAGATCCTTTTGTAACTCCTCGCAGTCTGTTTTGGACTTAACTATCTTGAGTAATTTTGTATCATCTGCAAATTTTACCACCTCACTGCGTACCCCTTTTTTCCAGATCATTTATGAATATGTTGAATAGGACTGGTCCCAGTACAGACCCCTGATGGTCATCACTATTTACCTCTTCCCATTCTCACCTCTTATTCCTACTCTTTGTTTCCTATCTTTTAACTACAAAAAGAACAGGAGTACTTGTGGCACCTTAGAGACTAACAAATTTATTAGAGCATAAGCTTTCGTGAGCTACAGCTCACTTCATCGGATGCATCATGCATCCGATGAAGTGAGCTGTAGCTCACGAAAGCTTATGCTCTAATAAATTTGTTAGTCTCTAAGGTGCCACAAGTACTCCTGTTCTTTTTGTGGATATAGACTAACAGGACTGCTACTCTGAAACCTGTCTTTTAACTGAAGTTCCTGGCAGTGCTTTCAGGATCATCTAACAACCCTTAATTTACTTTAATGATAAGCCTTTTGTTATCTTAATCACCCTGCCGCAGTTTATAAACAAACTCCCTGCTGCGAAGGCTGTGCTGCTCCCAGCTTCCGAACTCATCACATATCACACTCAAGCTGTTGCAGTTAAGAGCTCCGTCTGGGGCTAGGATGAGTAGACCTCCCCTACAAAACTCAGGTGCCATGAGCAACTTTAATAACACTAGTTTAGACAAGGCCCTGAGCCCACTGACTTTTTATGGAATAGAAATCTTGTTTTGCATTTGTACTTGAGTTGTTTCCCTAAAGAAACATTCTCTCTGGCTGGTAGAAGCATTAAAACATGCTGATTGTCAAAATGTCAAGACTATATTTGGTGGTAACTTTTTGTTACCAGGAGAATACACTATATTTATACACACTTATTTACACAATTATACAGCTAAACATACATTTAATCAGATTCTTCATTTTCTGTTTTTTGTGTTAAGAAATGCATCACTCACCATTTTCTGCTTACTAAATTATTTTTACTTGTGACTTCTGTCAAGCTGCATTTGGATGGAAATTGCAATTCAATAAAAAATATGTCAAAACAGCATTTGAAAATTGTTTACCCGTTAACTAACATGACCTTACAATGTGTTGGATACAAAAGAATATGTTTCATAAACTTTTTTAATTTACAACTAACTGATTTATTAAACAAAGGCAGTATTAAATGTAGGTAGTGAACTGACAGACTGGTATTTAGACTTCCGAAAGTGGTATTTAGACTTCTGAAAGTCTCACTGGGCACCTACATCTTTAGGTGCCTAAATACCTTTGAAAATCAGGCCCTGTGACCTTCCACATTTTCAGAAACTGATCTCATCAGCTTTCCTGTTTTTTCAGCTTCCAGTTGTTTTCTCAGTTTTGAATGAAGTGGTCCAAAGAATATTCTCTTCATTTCTCTCTTCGCCTACTAGCTAAACTGAAACTATGTACATTAAGACCAAATCTTCTCTGAACAGCAGAAACTGAGAAGTACTTACATTAGAAGTGCAAATACCAGCATTCACGCCATTGTAAAGACTGAAAATAATATATTTACCCAGTGCAATACTTGATTGTGACATGTTTATAAGTATGAGGCGACCTCAGAAGTTAAAGATGTTTTCCCCGCAATACAGTATATAATTAAAAAGCAGAACCCTTTAACTTGCCAATTTGGGGAGGGCTCACTAATGCACCAAATTTTTATTTATTGATTTTTAAAATATTACAGTCAGTTTGGGCCTTTATTATAGAGGTCATCATAATTTTAAAGTTAATTATAAACAGGTTGATTTTTAAAAAGAAAAGTGAATTTAAAGGTTCTGATTTTAAATTTGTTCTAAAATCTTTGATTTTTCTTCATCCTGATGGGACCAGGATCAGGCCCGTTGAGTTCAATGGGAGCTGTGGAGGGGATCATTATCTCTTAGGACTTGCACAGACTGGTTTTGCACAGCCTCCCCGCTCCCCGAAAAAAGCTTATATTGAAGTTAGTGGTGATAATGTTTTAAATTGAAGAGTTCAAAGCCTGTGGTTAAAGAAATGCAAGAACACTCTGTGTGTGTGTGTGTGTGTGTGTATTTCAGATGTGTTAAGACACAAGGAAGGAGCTGGCTTAAATTTCAAACATTGGAGATTCAAGCTGTTCCTTGCATAGATTACAGCTAAATGGATACCTTCCCTTTACTTCTTATGCTATTAACAGCCCCCTTTTTCCTTTTAGCTTTGACACGGGGCTGCCTACGCAGAGGGATCATGTTATGGATCAGGGATATAACACACACCTAGAATAATGCACATTCAGTGTGAGGACACCTTAGTATCAGAAAGATGTTGACAAATCAGAAGGAATTCAAGAAAGCACAATAAAAATTATTAAGGAGCTAGACAGAT